AGAGGCGGCCCGCGCCCCCCCTGCCGCCATCTTAGCGCACCGCCTCCGCGGGACGCTTTACGGCGCCCAGGCGCCGCTTTACGGCAACGGCCGCTGCGCGACACTGCGCGACACCACCGCCCCTCCCTGCCGTTGCCATGGCAGCGGCGACCCCTACCCCCGTGTTATTGTAGGGTCACCCTGTACCCCCTCAGTGTTATTGTAGGGTCTCCTTGTGCCCCTCTAACGTTATTGTGGGGTCACCCCCCACCCTCCGTGTTATTGTAGGGTCACCCCATGTCCCCCCGCCATGTTACTACTGTAGGGTCACCCCGTAAAACCCCCCCATGTTACTGTAGGGTCTCCTTGTGTCTCCCCCCACGTTACTGTAGGGTCTCAGGCCTCCCCTCCCCTGTGTGTTACTCAGGGTCCCCAGGGGTGCCCCCCCATCATTGTAGGGTCACCCCACATCCCCCTCATTTCAGCAGGGTGCCGCTGGCTGCCTCTGCCTCACTTTCCTCAGGCAGGAGCCAGTGTAGTTGCCAACATCTTTATTGCGGACATCGGGGGGACACATGTGTCCCCAGGGCCGGGGGTCCCTATGCCCCCCACCCCACACCGGGCCCCCCCCAGCCACCCCCGGCACCCCCACGGTGCGGGACGGCAGAGCTGGTGCTGCTGTGTCCAGCCCCGCTCCTCAGTGGCTGCGGCTCCGGCTCTGCTCGGCCTCCTCGTCCTCATCCTTGTCAGGGCCTTAATTAGTCGGTAACAAGGCAGGGGCCATCCTTGGCAGCACAGCACCGGGGAGGGGGGGGGGCTGCGGGCACCCCCCTCCCGCCGCCGGCGCTACATGAGGCGGCATTGCTCACCACCTGTCGCCCCCGGCAGGTCCAGCTTAGGGCCGGGGGGCTTGGGGGGGGGGGGAGGGAGGTGAGCCAAGGGACCCAGGCATCTGGGGGGCTCCGGACAGGGCCCCCGCCCCCCCAGGGGTCCCTGGTGACACTCACCGACTCCCCGGCCAATTCCTTGGGTGGGTGCCCCAGGTCCTGAAGCTGCCGGGGAGACATGGGGGTCATCAGGATGGCACTGGGGGTCCGGGGGGGTCCGTCTCCCCCCCAGCTAACCTGCTGCATGAGGTCGAGGAGGGTCTCAAAGCGCGCTCGCCGCTCCTCCTCGCCCTCGCCTGGCTGCTCATCCTCCAGCTGCTGGCAGATGCGGCCCATCACGCCGTGCTGCGCCCGGTACCGCTCGTACTGCTCGGCTGGCAGCGCCTCACCGTGCCGCCGCAGCCACTCGGGGTACTGTGGGGGGAGAGCGGGGGGTCACACCGGGACCACTGCACCCGTCCCACGTCCCGTCCCAGTGCCACCGGACCCCCCACCTTCTCAGTGATCTCCTTCAGTGAAGGGTAGAGCACGTCCTTGGAGAGCAGGCTCTGCATGATGCTCCGCATGACGGGCAGGACGCTGCCCTCGCCATCGCCCTCCTCCAGCCCCAGCCCCTCCAGTGCCTTCGCCAGCTCCTCCTCCGAGGCCGAGGAGCTCTGCAAGGACACCATCAGCACCCCCCCGGGACGGGGGGCACCCCCGGGGGGACCCTGATTGTTCAGCAGGGGGGTGTCCATACCTGCAGGTCAGTGGCGTTCTTGGCCAGGCCACTCAGCGTCTCCTTCAGGCAGGAGGTGAACTCCTGCTGCGACGCCGTGTCGCTGCCTGTGGGGGCCAGGAGACACCAGTCAAGAGACAGGGAGATGCCGGGCACCCTGGGGCACCCTGCTCAGCAAGGGTCGGGGTCTTGTCTTGGGGATCCCGCTCCCAAATGGGGATCCCAGGGGGCTGAGGGACCGGGGTATCGCCCAAAAGCCCTCAAGCCTTCCCCACATCCCACTCCACCACGGCGCCGGCCGGCAGCAAGGAGCCTCAGGGAGCTCTCGGCACGCAGGAGGACGCCCGGCACTGCAATGCCGGAGAGGTGCCAACCAGCCCCGAGCCAAACCGAGACCTCCTGGCATGGTGGGGAACCCACGGCCGCCAATGCCCCCAAAGCCCCATACCACCCTGGGCCAGCACATGCTGCTCACTCTGCCATGACCTCGGTCTCCCAGCTGTTGGCGAGATCTGGACGCCAGTGCGCTCCCGGCACAGCAAGGGCTCACCAGGCTGCAACACGCCAACTCTGGCACAACCGAGCCAGCAGCCAGGAAGGGTGGCCGACCTTTGACACGCTCCTTTGTCATGTCATTTAAACACACCGGCAGCGACGCCCACGTGCCAGCCCCACTCACCCACTCTTCCCGCCGCTTCTGACAGCTTCTGGAACTGCTCCACCAAGTGCGGCTCCTCCCGGGCCAGCTCCTGCATGGCCTGCTCAAACTCGGCCGCTGCCTGCGAGGCCAGCTCCCCCTCAAACAGCTCCTGGAAGAACCTCTCCTGCGAGGCGAAGAGGGAGGCCTGGGGAGAGGGGCACGGTCAGGCCCCTCCACCCCCACGGGGATGGTGTCTCCCCACCCCGAGGGACGGGGCGAGGGTGGCGGCCGCATCCTGGCAGCGTCGCACCTTGGCGGCGGCGCTGGGCGAGGGCTGGGCCCCAGGGGGGGGCGG